TTTTTTAGTTTTCAGCGCAGCTTTCACCAGATTCCTTGCCCCTTAACGCCGACTGGAACGCTGCAGTTCTTGCAGAGCGCTGAAAGGGTTTAACTAATCCTCGTTCCTCCAGAAACGAGCCCCGTGAACTTTAAACCATAATAATATTCTAGTGAGATGGCTGGTTGGGCAAACCGCTCTGCTGCAGGGCCCTGGCTAAACAAATCCTAAAGAACTGACGCCTTTAAAGAGTTCCTTAACGTCTTTAATTTTTAACCAAAGAGCTCCAGACATATCGAAATACGAGATAAGTGTGGGCAGTCAACAGCGCGGACTCTTCCCTTTGGGAAGTTGCTCGGTCGTATCTGGTATTTTGCACTGTTTATATAAATGTGCCAAATAGAGTGGAAGAAAACGCATATCGGACTGAAGCAGCTGCTGGGAATCTCCGAGGCTGGTCCCCTGCTTTCAGCCCCTAGCAGCCATCGATGGCCTGCAGCGCGCTGTCACTTAAGAAGTCTGTGCTTTGAAAAATCTGATCCAAAACGGAAAGTAAAAAGGACAGGGGAACTGGACGTTACCAGGGACAGAAGCCCTTTTTGTCGCAATCTTATCTGTTTTATCAATTTATTTTTGCCCCAAGGAACCAGTTTTAACTTCGCTGAAGGTTTCTCATGGCTGTGTCTTCTCCCCCAGGTACTCCCTTCCCCAAGAACTTCCTCCCGGTGGTGAAGAAGATTCTCTCCAGGCGCTTCCGAGTCTTTGTCCACGTCTACATCCACCATTTCGACAGGATCACCCAGATGGGGTCGGAAGCCCACGTGAACACCTGCTACAAGCACTTTTACTACTTCGTGAAAGAGTTCAATCTCATCGACACCAAGGAGCTGGAACCACTGGTGAGTGTCTGGGTGGGCTCAGGGCACATGCCAGGCCGTTGGGGTCTGCAGCCAGCGCAGAAGGGGTGGGCTGCGGGTGGAGGAGTCACAGAGGCCTCTCCGGTACCTTCTCAAAATTGGTTGCCCAAATTCAGGACATGGGTTGGCCTTGCAGTTTGACCGTCAGGGAACTGGGAGTCAGGATCTGCAGGCTCAGCTGGGCCAGGGTCATCTGGGCACCGGCTGGGGGAAGCTGACTTGTTCTCCAGGAGCCTCCTTGCGTTCCTGGCAGCCGGCTTGCCTTGTCTGCATGCGCTGCCTGAGCCCGGCACTGCTGGCCATCCAGGATTTGGATGGCTAAAACCTCCTCCCCGTGCTTACTCCCCATGCTGGAAAGCAAGGGCAACACCACCACCGCCTTCACAAGGAGTCTGGAGGATGGAGAATGCCACCACTTAGACCCAGGAGGTGGTGACGGTGTTTCTACAGCCGTGAGCAACAGAGCGAGAGCAGTGGAAGGGTGTCCTGCCAGTGCCTGGGAATGGGAGCGGTGGGGGGAACGGGGACCTGCCCAAACTGGAGCTCTAAGTAGCAGTGTCGCCGCGTGCCTGAGAAGGGTATTTATGACTAAATGAAGGCGAGGGGGTTTTTTTCATCCACACCCTCACCTGGCAATCTGGATCTTCATTCATGGTCCCTTGTCTTCTTGGTCCCTTTGGCAGAAGGAAATGACCTCCCGGATGTGCCACTGAGATCAGATCTTCCTGCTCCCACCTCCGCCTCTCTTCCGAGGACTCCGAGTCCCACTCCTGTATTGGAGACGTTGATTCAAGGGGAGAAGAGAGACGTTTTGTTAAAAGAAATCTATATATTTTTAATGAGTTTCAATGTAAAACTGTGATAATGCAGGAATATTTTTTTAAAGATGCTCTAGATAAACTAGTTTTTTATAGTAATTTCTATTAAAAAAAAAATATTTTGGGCCACTTGGTGGAAATTCTCACTCTTTGAGGAGGGAAGAGCCACCCTGAACTGCCTCTTCCCCGTCCCCTCACTGCAGTGGCACCAAGCGAGCCGAGCCAGATGCTAACGATCGAGCCGTGTCGTGTAGCTGGTGCTGCCATGGAAGCGGTACTTCCCTCCGGACACCCATTTCCCACCCGTGACGGGAGTGGGGACTGGGGAAGAAATGCTGGTGTACGTTGATCCCCCGGGGTGCTGTTTGGTTCCAGCACCTCTTCCACTGGCTGTGAGTCCAGTTTTTGGACAGAGCTGCTTTTGTGCTCGCCCTCCGCTTGGCATCCTGTCCCCAAGGCTTGGCCCTCCCTGCTTGCCCTCTGAAAGAAGCTGGACTTGGGTTTGTTTCATGGCGAGACCAGCTCCGCCGCTGCTCGTGGAGTCTGTGCTGGAGCGCTGATGTTTTGAAGCTGCTCTTCCCTCTCACGCCAGCTCCGAGCTGAGCTTCTCCCCGGGCACAGCCCGGCTGCGGCTCTGGGCACGCTGGCCCCACGGGGGACGGGGGATCCACGCTGGCAGCATGAGGCCGAGCAGACCTGTGCCTCGTGGCGATGAGCAGAGGGAAGGCACTGGGACGGGCATGGTGGAGCCTTCTTCCCAAACGCCTGCGCTTCCCCTTCTCCTCGTGGTACGCTGACCCTGCCGAGACGGAACTGCCTCGCGTCCTGCCTGTGCGTGGACCCTTTTCTGCTTCCCCGTTAGGGTACGGAGCCTCCCCCCTCTTCCCCAGCAGCACGTTCCCCGCTCAGCTGCGCGCATCTCCTGACCAACGTCTCTGCTGTGCGGCCAGGGACCGCTGGCCTTGCCCGCAGCTTGCACAAGCGGCTCCGCTGCGCGACGGGAGCTTTGCAGGGCCCCCGAGGTAGGTAGGTAGGTCTACCTAGGCTGGGGGGGGGGGACGTGGGAGAGCAAGGGTTTACAGTAAGAAAAAAGGTTTCTATGAACAGTGACCAAAACTACCACTAACCACTTCCTACAAAGTTTTTTCTGTGTCCTGGAATCTCTGTACATACGTGACTCTCGTTTCTTGTACTATCGTTAGGACACTCGTACAAATACCACTATAGTTCTCTGAAACTGAACCAATAAATTATGTTGTATTTACATAGCACGCTCTGATTGCTAAACGTCTCGTGATTGCGCGGTCGTCGGAGGCTTTCTATCAGCAAAACAAACACGGCGTGTTTGGACTCCGCGGGAAGCGCGCTGGAGAGCTGTTTCCTACAGCTGCTAAAAGCCCTCGGGTGCGTGCCCCTACCCCAAGGTTTGAGTCCTCCTGCTCTCGAGGGGCCGGGGCCGGGCTGCGCTGAGCCCCCCGCTTGTTCCCAGGGTTGTGGGGCAGAGCGGGTGGGTGCTGGAGCTCAACCAGCAGCAGCCTGGGGTTGTCCTGACTTGTCTCTGTGCTGTCCCTCTGCCCAAGGGCTGATTCTCCCAGCTCTAAAACTTGGGTGGATGTGGGCAGGAGAGGTGAATCCAAGCTTCCCAGCTTGCT